AGTGGCAGTGGAGGGAGATGGCTGGCGGAGGCCAGCGGTACTTACCTGTGGCGCCATAGCTCCAGCTCCACCTTCGAGGTACCTGCATCAAGGCGCCAACTTCACAGGTTAGTACTGGACAGAGAGAGAGAGAGAGAGAAAGTTCTTCTTCTTCCTCCCCTATGTCCACCATCTCTTCTTCCCCTCTCCCACCTGACTCCTCAGTATCAGCAGGTTACTACCGAGAGAGAGCGAGTTGTGACTTGAGACTTGACGACATTGGATCCAGACTCAACCTTGGGATTCAGACATTTCGACGAGGGACTATTTGGGCCTGTGCTGAACACTTGGTGTTGACGACATTCCCGTCTTCCCCTCTTCTTCGTCTAAACCCCATCTTCTTCGTCTGTGTATGGTTGGGACTGGCGCAGTCTTCCTGTGTGAAGCGCCAGACCCCTTCACACCATGGAATGATGATGATGATGTATGTTTGGGGCTGCATTGCAATATTGATTGTTCGGATCATTGGTATCTAAGTCTTCCGCTGTGCTATTTTATACTTTGTATTGAAAGGTCGGTTCTTGTTCTGGTCTGCACCTATACGGTATGCAACAGACGGACAAACGGAAGGATGGATGAGCAGATGAATGTATGGAGGGAGGGAGGGAGGAAGGAAGGAAGGAAGGAAGGAACGAAGGCAGGAAGGAAGGAAGGAAGGAAGGAAGGAAGGAAGGAAGGAAGGAAGGGAGGAAGGAAGGAAGGGAGGGGTCGAGGGAGGGAGGGGTGGAGGGAGGAAGGAAGGAAGGAAGGAAGGAAGGAAGGAAGGAAGGGAGGGAGGGATGAACAAATAAATGAATGGACTGAAAAACCCCGCCTTCCCTTCCCCACCTTCCCTTTCCAAATAACCACCTGACAACTGATCTCACGAATTTGACGTGTAGTTCAAAAACTGCAGAAATTGCAAATTAAGCCCAAAGTATTCAGAGACCCAAACACAGCACTCATCAAACATATGCTCAAGATGGGACATTTGTTACAATGGCACTTAGTCACTGCCGACTTCCTTGCACATGCTACAGTCTGGCACTTCTGCACATTCACGTCCATATCTCCACCTGTCCCAGTTCTTGTTTGCTATATGTCTCCGTGGCAGAATCACCTGATTGCAAATGCTTGCAAAGTCACAACCTGTCTAGAGCATTGCCAAGGTCACCACTCCTTGCGCACCTACTTAATTGGTGTACCAGGCACATGCCCCAGGATACCGCGCTGCCCATGGAAGATCATACCGTCTCCGGTCAATACCTTTTGCCCTCTCGATTGCCATTTGAATGCTAGCTGACGTCAAGAATGCTCCCCGCTTTCTTAGCAACTACCCATTCATCCTGTGTCGCTTATCATGAGCTCATCATTGGGACCACTATAATGGGCCTGAACGGATAGGCAAACAACGACGTGTTATCATTGATATGAAAGATGTCAAGCAGCATCATTCACAAACTTACCCATGCTAGGTTCTCGGAACGAGTCTCTCAGCCAACTTCCATAGAGTTTCATATCATCATTCAGATAATTTGAGGCCATTAGCGACGTTATGTCACATATGAGCATTGGATCTACGGTCACAGACTGCTGATTTCTTTGGCGATCATCACCATTCCCCACTCCCCTAAACTGTGGCATTCTACCTCTCCAAACTGGTGCTCCCCATTCTTAGATCTGGCTCCCCCTAGCACTGACCACATACCAACCATATCCTGCACTAAATGCGGCTTCGAGATCCAGTAGCACATTCCCTACTCTGTAAAAAGTCAATGTTCATCTGACTCCAAAGATCACAGATTCATAAATCTCAATCCACAAACAAGATGGACCTGAGTGCGTCTAATGAGTGTATACACTATATAGTGCTGTATACTGGATAGAGAAACCCACCATCCGGGATCTACTCCGGGACCATGGCGGCACATTTTCATCGTCATTGAACCAATTTTCTTAAGACAGCATACCTCATATCTATCCTAGCATTCATCATATCCGACACATCATACCCAGTTTACATCTTAAACATTATCGGTCTATCAGTGGAGGAAAAGGAGCACTAGCCTCAGCATATGCATTGGGAAATCATTGAACAGACTCAAACGATTGAAAGGTGGCTCCAAATTTGTTTTATGACATCAACCTTGATCACGGTGACCATTTTCAGCCTTGAAGACCGGGCTCACAGCCGCCCACATTTCATTTGTGTCAAAGAAAAAATCAGAGGGTGCTAACATCCTTACCAAATGGCAGGAGAATAACCTGCTGGAGCTGCACTGCAAGTTGGGTTGACTTCCCCAGCAGAATGACTTGCAGGCGTCTGGTCGTCTCCAGCTGTACATGCAGCCGAGTCTGATCCCAAGCTTGCTCTGCGATCTCTGACAATATTCTGTCTTGGTGGTGAAGCCTGCAAAAGCATGATGAGATAAGTTCATAAAGCAGTCGAGGTCTGAAAACATCTGGCTGGGGGAGAGATTGTTCACATCTCTCTATTTTCGCCCTTTTTTTTCTCCTTTTAACATAGACTGCAGGCATGGAGGAGACACACACACACAAACAGGGATAAGAAAGAGAGAAGGCAGGAGGAGGAAATGCTCAGAGAAGCAAGAGAGGAAAGATAGGAGGGGAGTTGCCCAAGGGAATAAAGAGTGTAGAAGCAAAAACAGAGGAAAGATTCTGCACTACAAAACGAAGCCTGTTCTCTCGACAAGGAGGCCAGGAGCTTGGCAGGGCAGCAACTAACGTGAAGTGCAGAAAAAAGACCACACGCAAAGAAACGGTATAGCCTCCACCAACGCGCATGTACTGGAGACTTGGTGCTTGTTCTGTGTATATGCAACGACCTGCACAGAGTCAGTCTGAGACTTATGCTGTTTTCTGAGTATTGCTGCTTGATGGTCTGATTTCCTGATATTTCCACGTTCTGTGTGAGAGTGCTGGGAACTCTCACACATGAGTGTCTAACTCCCTACGCGATGTTTGCCATACGGAGAACTGACTGTGTGCTTGTCCTGTGTTTCATGTGTCCCGTGAATGGGTAGTCTAGAAATAGGGACACCGCAGGGGACACAACTGAATTGGCCACCGGATGGACTTCTAGAAAGGCCGTGACAGACGGGCAAAGGTCGAGTTCAGCTGTTGCTCAGTAGGGATTTTCCAGCAACTCGGGTAGGCCAGCAGAGGTCTAGAGGGAACCCGGGAGGCTGCAAAAAGATCATGAGTAGTCAGGACCCGTACCTGGATAGTGGGTAGGTTAGATACCGGCCCTGGGGTAGACTTGCAGGCTGCAATGATGTTCCCATGTAAGGACAGGAACCTCCAGTAGGCCTCGCACACTGGAGAGGGAGTGGTACCTCGGCCTATTTGAAGTCCTGAGGCCGAGTAGCAAGAGCACACATCATTCAGGCAGAATGAGTGAAGAGGTATCTTGCCCAGCAGTCATGCTGGTGCTCCATCCAGTGGTTGAAGGTAGGTGGAGCTCCTGCTGAGAGGTGAAGCTGGAGGGTGGAGAAGAAGCGGCCCCCCCTGGCTATCGAATAGTAGTTGGAGGAGGGAGCAGGCCTACACTATGGAGGAGGATGAAGCGCCTCATGCCATGCTATGGAGAAGGGTGAGAGAAGGGTGTAGAAGGTGAGACAAGGAGAGAGAGAAATCGACATGATAGACTCACCCTTGGCTATGGTTGACCTGCATTTTCATTTCCTTGGTTGGCACTGTGTCTACAAGTGTCTACAAGGCCCCTGTGTGGGTACCAGGTGGTCTTGGAGTTCTTCCGAGAGTGTGTGGAATGAGATGGGAGACGCATAGTAGGGATTGTGTTCTCCCTAGAGCATCCGTGATTATAGTTGCAACCGAGCAGAATAGTCACGCCGACGGTCGGCGCCCCTGGATTGGTCGGTACCAGCCGACCGTCGGACTCTGGTCGGCACCTACCGGTCGGGGGTCGGTCGGCACCCAAGAACCCCAAATTAGCCCATCAACACCCCCATAGGCCCCCCCAACACCCCTATACACCTCCCAACATCCTTATACCCCCCCCAACACCCTCTACAACCCCCCTATAACCCCCCTACAACCCCCCTATGTCCCCCCCATGTCTGATGAACAAGACATGTGCAAAACGGGAGGATTAGCTTCTTTGTTACCTTTTACGTATGCTACGATGCCAATAGCCAGCATGTCTTTAATCGGATTTCCTTCTTTAACTTAGAATTTGCTTCTACTAAATATACCATAAGTTGTAACTTTGGCTTTTTGGCTTGGAAGTCTTTCTGTATTTTTGACTACACCTGATTATTCTTTTCGTTTACTTTTTCTCACTTTTCTTGCTGCAACCAATGCTTTTAAGCGAGACATCGAAAGAAGAAGAGCAGTAAGGAGGAAGAAGATGAGAGGAGCGAGAAGTGAGGGGGAAGACATTGGTTCATGTTGTGTATTCTTCTTCTTCCTCTTCCTTCCTCTTCATTCTGTTCCAGTGTTCTCTCTCTCCACTTCCTCTTTTGAGTTTCAGCAAGTCTTGCATTTCATCGCAATTGAGTTTTGCATTATGAATGTAATAGGAGCGAAAAGTGAGGGGGAAGACATTGGTTCATGTTGTGTATTCTTCTTCTTCTTCTTCTTCTTCTTCTTCTTCTTTTATCTTCATTCTGTTCCAGTCTTCTCTCTCTCCGCTTCCTCTTTTGAGTTCCAGCAAGTCTTGCATTTCATCGCAATTCTGCATTATGAGTGTAAGACGATCATAACAATCGGTATCAAAGCTAGACCTTACGTGCATGTTAGGTATTCAAGCCACCCCAAACCTGATTTCGAGATGGTTAGGACAACGTAATCTCGGATTTGGGCCTTGGATTACGGTTGAGTTGGGGATTAGGGTTGGCGAGAAGAGGGAGAGTGAGGAGGGGAAGTTGAGAAGAGTGTTAGGCACTCATGCAAGAGGACATCTGGAAGTTAAGTGTGACCAAGGTGACTTCTTCAGTTGGCGAGCAGGAGCGAAGCAACAATGCCATCCAGGCTACTCGATATGGTTACTAATTGACTTCTGTGACGCATAAGGCCCCGACGAGCCCCTTTTTGGCCTTGTAAGCAGCACCGTCGGCCGCCCTAAGTGAAGGCGGGTGCGACCAAGGCCAAGAGGCCACCACGCAACTGGGGAAATTCAGGCAGTTGCGCAGCGCCAGTTGGTTGAGAGCGCCCAGGCCCCGGCTGCCTTTTTCGTACGTAACCGAGGCAGGCCCTGGGCCAGATACACCATATGGGCCGAACACAAGTTGCGGGCAGTTGGCCACAGGCAACCGTCACAGGCCCTGGGCCTGATTCGTTTGGACCAAGACTCAGCCTCTCGGGGCCTACCGGAAGCTTCTGGGCAGGGGCCCAGCGCAGCCAGGCCACACGCAGCAGGCAGGTCACTTCCATTTAGGAAAGTGCCTGCCCTCGCACATGGTATTCGGGCACTGGCTGCATGCTGCACAAGCACTGCTGCGCTAATCGCTGGCCAGGCCCACGCGATCACGGGCAAGCAAGGAGAGCAGGCAGCCACAGCCGAGCTGCGCTACGCTGAGCTGGATGGGGCGCATGGTGGTCCTTGGGTGCACGTGGCATCTGTGAGTGGGGAATCGAGGTTGGGAGTGATACGAGAGACATACCCGGTGCTTGAGGCGAACGGCATTGGCCGAGATCTGCTCGTACTTCGGGAAGCTGTTGATGTCACCAGCGGCATTGTAGATAGGCTAGATAGGATCCAACATTGTCACTTATGAGCTATTGCTGTGCCCTTATTTGTTGGAACTCGTGTTGCAATTCTGCGTTTGGTTCGAGGTCACGACTATTTGGATTCATGTGTATGATGCTGCTTAGTTTCTGGAGTTCACTGTCGCTCATTTTCCTTGCAATTTGGTATCGGAGCTGTGGTACGTTGCGCTAATCTGGCGCTTGTCTTCTGCCTATGCGGTACATGCACGCGGTCTGTTGGGCGAACGGCCGTGGGAGGTGTGTAGTGAGGAGGGCGAAGGCAAGCAGGCGACCCAGGTGGAGAGGGGATCGCCAGGAAGGTTATGAGGTGATTAGTGGGTGTTCGCAGTGTGATGAGAACTATCTGATGTGCGATTGATGTTGAGGTGGAACGACGGTGTAATGCTGGTTGTGCCGAAGCAGCGATTGGTCATCACAATCGGCATCAGGTCATCTGGTGAGAATATCTGTGGTTGGGGGCAGCTGTTTTGAGGATGTGTGTTCTTTCTTGAGAGTCCTCTCATGTGAGGAGTCGAGTGCACTCAACCTTGAGAATCGGCATTGTTCACGTGGAGCATCTAGAAGGAGAGGGCGGAGCTATTTGAAGGGCCCTGGACGAAGCACTGGGTCACGGTCACCATGCCAACCCACCGGGAGTAGAGCACGCATGCTTTGCTGCTTTGTCCTTTGTCTGCTCGATGCGCTGTTAGATGGGTTACGAGGGGCAAGCCAGCCCTACAGGAGAGACGAGTACCGGGCGTCTATAAATAAGCACCAGCGGGGTACCTTCCATCGACTGTGCTCGTCGTCCTGTCTGCAACGTTAAATAATTCCTGAGGACTTACGAGGGATCGTCGTCCTGTCTGCGACGTTAAATAATTCCTGAGGACTTCCAGGGCCGTCCTTAAACGCCTCTTGATCAGCCAATCAGTCGGTGTAAGGCTTGCGGCACGCGAGGGTAAACATTGTGCAGGGCTGGCAAGCTCAGCATACACTCGGGGCACAGGGGTGGGCTGTGTGCACACCTTTAGACACACACGCTATCTGGATCGCTCAGGAACGCCGACGTCAAGTGACATTCAGGAAGAACTGAGGGAGGGGTAGATTCCAGGTGATAAGTTCGGGACCAATTCCATTCTATCAACAGCCCAACAAATGATTCTATTTATTTTGATTAGTTAGATGTTACAGCCATACACATCTGATAGACAGCATAGGTAGAACAGTTTCTCCTCATCTGCTTTCTGTTTGCGGATTAGTCAAGTAAAGATAGCTTCGTTTGTAGGAATCTGAACTTACCTGTTGGACCCAACTGTATATACTCTGACATAGCCACCAATTATTATTTATTTATTTTAAATTGGTCTGTACACTATGCTGCGATAGGCATCTAGAGTGTTCTAGTGCAGATTGTGTATAGTGCTGTAGCTTATGAGTGACAGGGAAACACTAGTGAGGACAATAGGATCTTGCGATCAGCAAGGCGCCCGATAGCCCACGTGGCATTAGGACCCGACGGTGACCGACTCCTGTTCCGCCAGCTTAGGGAGAGACAGCAGCAGCAGCGGAGAGCTAGGGCCGCAGAGGCAAGCAGGGTATTCGCAAGCGAAGCTGCTACGTCAGCAGCCATGGCCACGGCTGCGCAGCAAAGCTCCCAGGCGAGGAGTTCAGGGACTGTAG